CCTGGGGTGGGAGGGAGAGAACAAGAAAAGGCCCAGAAAGCCAGCAGGGCGCGTGAGGCTGGCCTTGAGGGCACTGGGAACACGAAGGCCTAAGAAGCTTCAGAGGGTTTTGAGCAGAGTCCCGACTGACTGTTTTGAAGGAAGTCCTGCCTGCTGATGGAGGGCAGAGCTGGGCGCGTTAGACCTGCTGGACAGGAGCTGACCACTGTATTGAGTTGAGGGGCGACAGTGGCCGCAGGTGCTGAGGGGAGCTCAGCTGCAGCTGCCCGGGGTAGAGTGGGGTGTGGGCACACACGCTATGCACACCCACCGTGGAGAGCCGGGGGAGGGACAGGGGGCTTTGGGGCTGGTTGAATGAGCCCTTCTCCTGTCGACTAAAGGTAGCGACTTTGGGGAGGAGGTTTGGGGCAAACCCAGAGTTGGGTTTGGACTGGGAGGTACGGGTTGCCCATTAGCCCTGAGGGGAGCCCCCCGGTGACCACGTCTGGAGTTTGGGGTCACTTGTCAGCCGAGCAGGAACCCCATCACGGCCAGCTGTGCTGTAAGACCACCTGGGCATTTGTATTTAGGGCTCCTTGGAGGTTTTCTCTTTCAAAGAGACACACACACACAAATATTCATACCTTCATTCCTGACACATCCCTCCTGGAGAGGTGAATGATGGAGGTTTCCTAATATTACTTCCCTAATTTTATAATATGTTTTGTTTTGGACATTTTGAAACACATACATAAATAATAGTAAAAGGAATAAATAAGGAAAGTAATAATGGTAAAAAATAATAAAATAGAGAAAAAATAGAGAAAGCATAATGTATAGTAATATATAGTAATAGTATGAAAAGTGAAAATTGCTCAGTCATGTCCAGCTCTTTGTGACCCCGTGGACTATATCATCAATGGAGCCGTGGACTATATCATCAATGGAGTTCTCCAGGCCAGAATACTGGAGTGGGTAGCCTTTCCCTTCTCCAGGGGAACTTCCCAACCTGGGGATCGAACCCAGATCTCCCACATTGCAGGCAGATTCTTTACCAGCTGAGCCACCAGGGGAGCCCTAGGAATAGTGTAACAGATGGTAAAATATGGTGTTGATGAACCTTGGTGAACTCACTGCCAAGCAGATCGGAGCATCAGGTCATTTACCCCCACATTATTTTCATTATTATTTGAATAAAGCAAGGACTAATTCGGGGGGCGTGGCTCTTGACCTCAGGCCACTTGAATCGGAGGCTCCTCCGGGAGAGAGGAGCAGAGCTCCTCTGCTGGTTGCAGGGCTGAGGCCAGCCCATGAGTCACGTGAGTTACCTGGAGCTCGCAGGGCTGTGGGGAGGAGGGCGGAGCCCTAGGAGGGTGGGGAGAGAGAAGACAGTTTCCGGGAGGCAGAGGGGAGGGCAGCGAGCGCGCTCCAAGGAGCAGAAGGTGCAGAGGACATGCAGGGTGGGAGGAGGAGTGCTCCACACGGGGTGGAGGTGAGTGATAGACCCGGATGCCCAGGTGAGCTGCATGGCAGGGGGTGCTCTGAGTACCAGGGCAGGGAGTCCACCTCCGATGGTTTAAAAGCAGCAAACCACACCCGGCGGGGTGCAGGGGTGGGGGGGGTGGTTGGGCTGGAGGGACCTTTGAGAAAATTAAGGGCATGGGCTTCCCTGGTGGTTCAGATGGTCAAGAATCCCCTTATAATGCAGGAGAGCTGGGTCCAATTCCTGGATCAGAAAGATCCTTTGGAGAAAGGGCATGGCAACCCACTCCAGTGTTGTTGCCTGGAGAATCCCACGGACAGAGGAGCCTGGCGGGCTACAGTCCGTGGGGTCTCAAAGGGTCGGATACAACTGAGCCTGTTTCCACTTTGTTTCATTCTCATGAATTGGACCAGGGTAATAATCGGGGGTCTGGCAGCCACGAGCAATAAAGTGAGCTCTAGTGTCAGCCAGGCGGGAAGCAGAGGGCGTTTTTGCAGCTGCGCCTCCTGGAGCCGTCCGGGCTGGGCAGGGTGGGGGTGAGGGGTCCCTCCAGGCATCTCTGGAGGAGGAGTTGCAGAGCCTCCCGTGAACCCTCACCCTGATGGTGTCAGGTTGGGAGGTGCCGGGAGGAGCACGCCCGACAGGCCTGGCCCAGCCCGGCTCTCTCTGCTGTGAAGTAACATCCCCGAGGTGAAGGCTGGTGTCTGGGGTGGATGTTGGGACTGCCCTGGGGAAAGTAGCCGTGCCAGGCTTTCCATGGGGCACGGAGCACCATGGACCAAAGGGCCCCGGTCCCAAGGAAGGCGTGAATGAGCGCGTTAACACGCGTGTGAACGAGGCTTCTGGTCGTCAGAGAATCAGACCTCAGTTCGCAGCTCCAGCTGGTAAGTGGCGATGATGTCAGGACCACACAGCTGGTGGCTTCCAGGTTCCTTGCACGGCAGCCTCAGTAAGGGTGTCTGTGCTTTACAGGGACCACACATCTCTTACTGTAACTGCCGGCACGCTTTCTGCCTCCACTGGCTCGGGGTCATGGTTGTATCTGCCATCGATAACACAGCAGAAACAGGGATCAGTCTCCCCAGCTCCCAGCGGTGTTCTGTGGTTTGTTCTCCTGCCCACCTCGAGGCCCTGGTTCCTCCTTGGCAGCAGCAGGGGCAGCGGGAATGCGATCGCTCTTAAATCTTCATCTCTGCTTTTCTTGGCTGCTCCCGCGAAGCCGTCTGTGTCCTTCTGGGGCCTCGGCTGACTTTTTGGCCACTAGTCTCCCAGCCCTGCTTAAAAGCCGCCCATCCAGACTTCCTCCAGCTCCTCTGTTGAGGACATGGGTTGCCTGCCCTTTCTCCGGGGTCTGTGCAGGGTTCTGAGGGGGTGGGGCTTGTCTGATATCCCCTCTCCGTTGCCAGGGCCACCTGTGTCTCTTCCCTCCCCCAGCTCTGTCCCTGGCTTCTCCTAAACTGTGTCAGTAGTCTTCAAAGACAAAACAGCACTGCTGCTTCCAGCGGTGTCGTCAGCAGCCATAGTCAGAAAAGCTTTGGTGGCTTTCCCGTGGCGTCCAGGGCCGAGACTGGCCCCTGCCCTCCTTCTCCTGCGGTGCTCAGCCGCTGTGTCCCCCAGACTCACGGGCCCTGCTCTGCCTGGCGCTAAGTCCTCGCACTTTATAACCCTGGGCTCCTTCCCCTGCTCTGGGCAGCCGGCCCGCCTCTGGGGACCCTCACCCATCCCGCAGGCCCTGGGGTCCTCGGGAGCAGTAAGGCCTCATGACTGAGCCCACCCTCATTTTTATTTATTCTCTCCACTAGATGCTTCCCCAGATGTGAGCGGGGGGGCTCGGTGATGCTCCAAAAGGGAGATGGGGGGAGGCAGGGGACGGGGGCAGCTCATCTTTCATCCCGATCTCTCGAAGCTTGGTCAGGGTGAACCGCCCTGGGCAGCCCCAGGGATCCTGTTTCTGGGAGCACACTGCTGCTGGGATTCCTGGGTCCTGACCGGGAGCCTGTTGCGGTTGGGGGGGGGGGGTTGCACTGGGGGGAGTGGGGCAGGAAGTGTGACCGACTGAGGGCGTGACTCCGGGTGCCATCCCTGGTACTGCCGAGTCCTGGGAGCATCCTGGCCCGGGGTGAGGGTGGGGGGCTGGCAGATTCCACAGCTGATGGCATCTCCTGACTTTAACCAACCCCCACCTCCTTTCCCTGTTGTTGCCTCCCCAAGAGGCCAAGAATCACAGGTAGGAATTGTCCTTAGTTTGAAAGCCCACCTGTAAAACTCGGGTTATGGGTACAGAACTGTCACGGAGTTTTGCCCCCACCGATCCACCCGCCCACAAATCCCATTTTATCCTCCGCGTTGATTCCCTCCAGGAAATGAGGCTTCGACTTTTGGATCCAAAATGTTTTCACGTCCTCTCATTTCCGTAACCAGCTTTCACACGCGGCCACAGGCTGCCTGGTCGGGACAGAGCCTCCTCTGGCCGAGTCACCAGATATCCGGTCCGGCTCCAACGTGGCCTCTGCCCAGTCATGTGGCTGCCGTGGCTGATGGGGAGGTGGGCTGTGTCCCCACCTGGAGGGTGGGCTCTGGGCAGGCAGCTGGGGGAGACGAGCTTGTGTGGGGGGAGGCCAGGAGACCAGTCCCTGTCACTGTCCTCTCTCCTGGAGGCCCAGCTCAGTTCTCTGCAGAGAGGAACCTGGGCGTGGGGTCTGAGCACGTGGTCAGCCATAACCTCACAGGGAAGGAATGGAAGTCATGTGGGAGCCCACTTGATCGGGGAAACCATCCAGGTGCTTCACCCCGTCCTTCAAATAACTAGAGTGCCTGTGAGTGCTGGTGTGTGGGTCCAGAAGTGTGTGTGTGAGTGTGTGTGTGTGTGTGTGTGTGTGTGTGTGATGGGGCAACTCCGGATGGGCTGGAGGACTGCAGGATGGGAGACGGGTGGGAGGGACCACGGTCTGGGCTCAGGTTGGGCAGGTTCGTAGGGAAAGTGTCCCCCAAGAGAGACGGCCGCGCCTGACCTCCCCCTTGTGCACACGCGTGCCCCTCCCCTGGCCTCCGATCTTGGGTTAAGGGTCCCATTCCTGGCTGCCTTCTCGCTGTGTCCTCACCTCACCTGGCAGGCAACAGAGAGAAAAGCAGGCTCTCTGGGGTCTCCTGTAAGGACACTGATTCCACCCGCTTCATCTACCCTCACCCCACTCCCTCCTCCCCTCCTCATCTCCAGACATCCCTGCAGGGTGTCAGAGCTCTGACAAAGGAGGGGGGTTGCATTCAGCCCACAGCCAGCCTTCTCCCCAGGGTGCTCAGGCGAGGGAATGTGGCATCCTGTGAGACGGCCCAGACTCTGCCCTTGAGCCGCTGCCCGCGGGCCACTCAGAGCCAGGACTGCGGCTCCTGATGCCGGCTGTGGTGGCTGAGGCGGGGAGCCCAGGAGTCACGGGGTCTGGCCCCTTGTTCTCAGCACCTCCCCTGTGTTATCTCTCTCTCCTTTGGACAAATCAGGACGGTGCTCTCACTGTCCCACGTTACCAGCATGAAAGCGAACCTCCTGTTCGGTGCTCCACACCGGCTCCTCTCCAGCAGACAGCATGCACGCAATCTGGGTCTGCCCGCAACACACGGAGCCTGGGGCCAGGCTCCGTTCTGCCCACTGCGGCATCGCTGCGCTGGGCGGTGCTGGGGCTCCAGGTCCCGCTCACAAGTAAGGGTGACCCCCCCCCCCCCCGCGTCAAGATGAGGCATCTCCTGCTGTCTGCGGCCGGAGCAATCCAGAAACGGGGGCCCTGCGGCCAGGGTTTGTGAACCTGGCACTGCGGGGTGAAATTCACCTGCCCTCGGCTGCCCGCTGAGCTGAGTGCAGTGGTCACCTGTGACCAGCTGGAGGGACGTCGGCCCAGGTCTGCTCTGGGAGAGCGTGTGACCTTCCCTGCTCTGCAATTGACTCCTGGCTGGTACTTTCCTGTCCATTGGCCCTGGTGAGGGGTCTGCTCAGAGCCAGTTACCTTGTTCATCACCAGCCACCCCCCTTCCCTGCCCCTCCCCCACACACACAGCCCTGGGTGCCCCTTCCCAGGAAAACCGAGGCCTCAGAAGGGAAGCTGTGTTCTTTCCCACAAGATCTTCCTCTCCCGGCATGCTAACAGCACGGTGACTCAGTGAATGTACCGCGTTCCATCTGCAGACGTCACACGAGAACACCTTGCATGCACAGGTGGCCACGTGTGTGTTGTGTTTGTTTATTCGGGGGTCCAGGGAGGATCTAGGGGAGTGTGTGGGCAGGGAGCAGGCCCTTCACACCCACTGCAGTGATGCGAAGCACGGCCCACCCCAGACTGGAGTCAAGGGGACCAGCCACTTTCTGTGTACGCTGAGCTTTAGTCCCCCTTCCCCGAGCCCCGGAACTAGCAGCGTGGACAGATGCTGTTTTGTCCTCCTCTTTGGCTGTAATGAATGGGCCGGCCAGGTGCTCAAGCAGATTTCACAAACCTCATTGTGGCCCCCCAGCAAGAGGGGGTGCACACAGCAGGCCAGGGAACACTGCTGGGACTGTGTACCCCGAGACCCATGAGACAGGCATAAGGGGGCATAGAAACTGGAGCCTGAGCCCTGCTGTGTTCTCTCGGGCCAGGAAAATTGACACAGCCTCTGGAAGAATGAGGATTGCCTCTTGCCATCGATTTGCTCTTTAACCCATGTCTTTTCACTTGCTCCAGGGAAGTTCTGTTTTTCTTCCACCCCTCACAGGAAGAAGCACATTGCCGAGCTGACACCGTCGCGCAGCATGGTTGCCTGAGACAGCAGCTTCTGTGCTCGCTGGAGTAACTGGAGGAAGAACTATGAAACCTTAGCCCGTCGGCCCGGGGAAAAGCGTTTCGGGATGGCGGCTCAGCGCATCCGGGCTGCCAACGCCAGCGGCCTCCCGCGGTGCAAGTCCGAGGGGGCCCTGATTGACCTGAGCGAGGGGCTTTCAGAATCGAGCTTTAGTGATGTCAAAGGTGAGCCCCCGGGGACGGCACTGGCTGAGGGAGAAGACGCAGCGTGCCAGCGCCCGAGACCCAGAGACTCTCCCGCTGCCAGGCTGCCAGGTTTCGCGTTCAGATAGCTGAATCCGTGCTGCCTAAACTTCGTCGTGTTATGAATTCAGCCCTGAAACAACATCCCCGTGTGTGGTTTTGTTTTCATGTGTCGGGGAGGTTGTTTTGAATTTTCCCGTGAGTAATGAAACAACTTCTTAATGAAGAATATTCTTTCTCTTTACGTGAGTTTTGGTGACATTGATACAGGAGCATGGTGGAACAGAGAACCAGGGGGAAGGAGGGTGTGGTGAGCCAATGAGGTCCCGAGAGCCCCTGGAGAATAGAAGGGGTGGTCTGGGACAGGGGTCAGCATGCCTTCTCTGCAGGAGGTCACAGGGTAAATACTTGAATCCTTGAAGGCCATACAGCCTCTGTCACAGATGTTCAGCTCCGTGATTGCACCAAGAAAGCAATCATAGAAGAGAGTGAACAAGTAAGCATAGCCGTGTTCCAACAAAACTTGACAAAAAGGACCACCTGGGTCACAAAAACAGCTGACAAACCCAGGGGTTAGAGTTGGCCCCCCCCCTGGTTTAGAAGTGGACCTGGGTTTTAATCATTGAGTCTGGGTTTTCCTAATAGCTCCATAAAACTGGGCTGGTGGTGAAGTCTATTCTTAGACACTAAGAATAGTGTGTGGTGGGTCATTTTTCTCCATCCTGCCCTCACTAGCCATCACGGTGTGTCTCCTGTGAGGTTCCTGGCATCTGATGTTTCATCATCATCATCATTAGCATCATCATCACCACCATCATCAGCTGACTTTACCGGTGAATTCTGCGGAAATGATCCACTGTGCTGCCTAGAGACAGCTCAACAGCAAAAGCTATCTCTTTACCTTTATATCATTAGTCCCTGGCACAAAGTCGGTACTGAATAAACATTTCTTGAGCTAAACTGCTTTCTCCCAGATAAAATCATGACACTTTACCCTGATGTAGTAAACATTGTATGTGCACGTTTCTGCCTTTTCTCTTCCATTAATCCTCAGCTTCTTCCTCTTCCTGTCCACCGTTTATTCTCATGACCCTGAGCATCGCTTTAAATGGTCTTCTAAAGAAAAGACTAGCCAAGGTATCATGCGTGTGTGCTCAGTCCCTTCAGTCGTGTCTGACTCTTTGCGACCCTGTGGACTGTAGCCCATCAGGCTCCTCTGTCCATGGGATTCTCCAGGCAAGAGTACTGGAGTGGGTTGCCTTGCCTTTCTCCAGAGGATCTTCCTGACCCAGGGATCGAACCTGCGTGTCTTACATCTCCTGAACTGGTAGGTGGGTTCTTTATACCACTGCCGCCACCTGGGAAGCCCCAAGGAATCAGGAGGCTTTATTAATAAGAGCAGCGGACCTATTGGGTGTTGCTATAAATAACCGAGCCATTTATTTTTTGTAGTCAGGTATTGGGCAGTGTTTTCCTTATAACCCAGCTACTCACAGTTGAAGCGGAAAACTAGGAACTTAAGTTGTGGGGTTTGGGCTGGGGATATTGAAATGAAGGGCAGAGAGTGGAACGTTGAAAGATGATGACACTGATCCTAAAAGAACGCTGCAGCTGGGAGGGAAGGCAGACGAGCCAGCCAAGGGTGTGAGGCAGGGCCGGTTAGCTTAGAGGGTGGGGTGGGAAGAGACCCCTGGACCATACTCGCGAGGGGGCACCCTGTGGCCCAGACAGCTCCCTGCACATCGTGATGATGAAGCCAGCTTCAAGGTGGGATCTTATTTCAGGCAAAATATCTGCTGCAATGTCATCTTCCCCTGATAAATGTTTTTTCCTGTATAAGAACCAAGGCAGAAGGGTAGGAAATGTATTATTCAGTAAGTTGAACCTCCTGACACCCGGGGATATTTTTTTGTATTAAAAATCAAAGTACCTGTGAATCTGGGCAGCACTCTCCAGAATTCATTAAGATGGAATTCGATAGGGATTTTCCTGCATCTGACTTAATGGAAGTCCCAGCCTCTTGTCCCCGGGTGTCTGTGGCACTCGACTGATAAAGAGGCAGGTCTTCGCAGGGAGCTCACTCCGCGGTCCACCTCCACAGGGTCCCGACTGGAAGGGGCGCTGTCTCCCATCGGATGAGCCTCATCCTTAAGTGAAGTCTGTAACCACTCCTCTCCTAAGAAGAGAGCTTGGAATATTAAGTAAAACCATTTTTATTCTTCAGTCTTGGTAAGACTCAAGTGATCATTTGCACTGATACATTTTTCTCAGGCTACATCCTGCTTAATAGCTTTGGTTTTTAATTAAAAAAAATATTACTGTAAGGGAATTATTCTGGAGGAACGTAATAGGGATATAACTTTTGAGGAAGTCTAACAAGATTTTCATAGCCGGCCAGCTTTCTTTCATTTTCATGTGGTTTTAATTTTTATGTGACAGTTTCATGAGACGTGTCAAGGAAACAAAAAATTGTTTGTATTCCTGGAGCCTGTGACTGGAAAACAAAGTAGGAGGGAAGATCTTATGCTATCCCTTGGACCTCAGCTGACCCAGCTCCCTTCTTTCCACCCCCCCTCGAAGCTGTTGTCTTTGGCTTGGCTGTTTTTATTCACTCCCTCCTTTCTGTGTTAAGTGATTTCTCTCCGGTGTGATTTTACAGAAGGGCAAAGCCAGGGGAATGCCAACTTTGACTTCAGCGAACACCTTGTTGCAATAACATGGATGTTGCTTCTCTGCTGTAAGCAACTACTGTGAGCAAGACGTACCCTAACAGAGCATACAACCTAGTGGGGCAATGGAACCCTCCCCCCCACAAAAACCAAAATAAATATGTAAGGACATTTTATATCGGTTGATGATAGATGCTATGGAGAAAAATTAAATTAGGAGGGGGCTTGAGGTGTTTATTGCTTTATTTATTTTTTAAACATTTTATTTTGTATTGCGTACAGCCAATTAACAATGTGAATTAACAAAGTTTCAGGTGAACAGCGAAGGAAATCAGCCATACATATATGTGTATCCATTCTCCCCCGAAGCCCCCTCCCATCCAGGCTGCCACATAACCTGGAGCAGAGTTCTCTGTACTACACAGTAGGTCCTTGTTGGTTATCCATTTTAAATATAGCAGTGTGCACATGTCCATCCCAGACTCTCTGTCTCTTCCCCACAGCGTCCATAAGTTTGTTGGTTTTGTGAGTCCTTTGCTTAGACTAAGCATCATTATGTTCATCACTTCATCAGCATCGTCCCATTTAATCCTCACCAGAGCCCATGGAGGATAGATGGTTTATCCGTCATGAACAATCCCAGGCTGCAGAGATCCCACAGCTGCTAAAGTGAAAGTGAAAGAAGTCGCTCACTCGTGTCCGACTCTTTGTGACTTCCTAGACTACACAGTCCATGGAATCCTCCAGGCCAGAATACTGGAGTTGGTAGCCGCTCCCTTCTCCAGGGGATCTTCCCAACCCAGGGAGCGCACCCAGGTCTCCCGCATTGCAGGTGGATTCTTTTACCAGCTGAACCACCAGGGAAGCCCTACGGAGCCCACCTCCGACGATCCCAGAGCCAGATTTTCCCTGACACCCCAGACTTGGTGGTAGGTGACAGCTTCCAAGGCCCGGGTACACACCCTGCCAAGCATATCTCTGTAATTTAGTTAATGTAAATAAATAAAAACTTCCTACCTTATTTCCTGAGAGTTTGCTGAAGAAATACAATTTAATTTATTATCATTTCCTTTATACAATTCAATTTATTATTATTTCCTTTGGGAACAGGAAATGGGCAGGTGAATTTTTTTTGGCAGGAGGGCCGATTTGATAGACTAGTATATCTGTTGACTTAGTCATATATTAGACAAGATGAAAGTGTAGTTCCTCTAAAAATGTTCTTTCTTCATTTGTTCACATAGACAACTAAGAAAATTTGCTCTCGTTTTTCTGTTACAGGAAGGCAGCAAACTCTGTAAAATAAGACACAGATGGGGTGAGGAAGGGGGCCAAGATATGGGCTTATTTCCATCAGAAGAAAATGTCTTCATCCTCTTAACCCTAATCCTCTACGTATATGTACTTTGTCACCTATGGGAGGTTTTTAATTATCTGTTATTTTTCAAAATACATCCTACTTGTTTAGATGACTTTTTCTTTTCTGCTCTTCCAATTGCTGCCTACATTGGTAATACATAGTTGGACACCAAGACCCATAAATTAGCTTGAGTCAGTTGTTTAAAGTGTTGGCATTGTTTCAAATTGCTTAAAGAGTTGTTCAAAAGAATGTGAATTACGACCGAACCTTCAACCTTTAATTTTCAGGGGATGAGGGAGAAATCATTTCATGGTGTTCTTCTGAATGATTGTTTAAAAGAGGTTGAAAGAGACCCGACTCAAAAATCTTATTTCATATAAACAGTTTGATGAAAAATGGGTTTAACTTGGGAACCAGGAAACGGGTCTGCTTATCAAGGGTATGTTCCCCTTGGTTTATGTATTTCATTTTGAAGGGAGAGAGTGGAATTGGTTCTTAGACACAGAGATTCTTGCTGGAGGGCTTTTCTGGTCTTTGGTTACATGCACTGGGTCATTTAATACTGTTTTTCTAAATCACTTTCAACTTCTCTTTTGACCTAACAGCAGTCCCAATAAGTTAGTTACATCAAGAAAAGTTAAAAGTTAAAAGGAGATGTTTAAAACCCCAGTTGGTGTTGTTCAGTCAATAAGTCATGTCTGACTCTTTGCGACCCCATGGACTGTAGCCCTGCAGTCTTCCCTGTCCTTCACGATCTCCTGGAGTTTGCTCAAACTCATGTCCATTGAGTCAGTGATGCCATCCAACCATCTCATCCTCTGCCACCCCCTTCTCCTCCTGCCTTCAGTCTTTCCCAGTATCAGGGTCTTTTCCAATGAGTCATCTTTTTGCATCAGGGGACCAAAGTATTATTGTAAGTACAGCATCAGTCCTTCCAATGAATATTCAGGGTTGATTTCTTTTGGGACTGACTGGTTTGATCTCCTTGCAGTCCAAGGGACTCTCAACAGTCTTCTCCAGCACCACAGTTCGAAAATATCAGTACTTCAGCGCTCAGCCTTCTTTATGGTAAAACCCGGGACATCTGATGATTCCATCATGCTGATTTGCGTTTCTGTGGATGGTGGAGAGGCTTTCTACCCGACTTAGAGTGTGATTGGGATGTGATGGAATTTGGGGAGAATTCAACCAGGTGAATCAGACCCCAGATTTCACTGGTTGATTTCTGTCGGTTATGCCTGGCTTCTTGTCTCCACGTCAGGGGTGATGGTTTCCCAGGCCTCTTTTCTCCGTGGCTTGGGACAACATTCTGCCTCTTCCCGGGAGCCCACCCTCACCTCCTGTTCTTTATTTTGCACAGTGCCTTCTCCCAGTGCCTTGCTCATTGACAATCCCACACCCTTTGGAAACGCGAAGGAGGTGATCGCAATCAAGGACTACTGCCCAACCAACTTCACCACCCTCAAGTTCTCCAAGGGCGACCACCTGTATGTCCTGGACACGTCGGGCGGGGAGTGGTGGTACGCGCACAACACCACTGAGATGGGCTACATCCCCTCCTCCTACGTGCAGCCCTTGAACTACCGGAACTCCACCCTCAGCGACAGCGGGATGATCGACAATCTTCCAGACAGCCCGGACGAAGTCGCCAAGGAGCTCGATTTGCTCGGGGGATGGACGGATGCCAAGAAGGAATCCAGCAAACCCTACAGTAATAATCCTTTCTGGAACGGGGTCCAGACGAACCCGTTTCTCAACGGGAACATCCCGGCGATGCCCGGCACAGACGAGCTGATGCCCAGAAGCGCCGTGGACTTGCTCCTCTTTGACACAGGGACATCCTCCTTCACCGAGTCCAGCTCAGCGACCACCAACAGCACTGGCAACATCTTTGACGAGCTGCCAGCCGCCAGCCGCCTCCCCGCGGAGCTGCCCGTCAAGCGGGACAACCCTTTCTTCCGAAGCAAGCGTTCCTACAGCCTATCGGAGCTCTCCGTGCTCCAGGCCAAGTCCGACGAGCCCACGTCCTCGGGGTTTTTCACAGGCTTGAAATCGCCGGCCCCCGAGCAGTTCCAGAGCCGCGAGGACTTCCGGGCCGCCTGGCTAAGCCACCGGAAGCTGGCCCGGTCTTGCCACGACTTGGACTTGCTGGGCCAAAGCCCTGGGTGGGGCCAGACCCAGGCGGTGGAGACAAACATCGTGTGCAAGCTGGACAGCTCGGGGGGCGCCGTGCAGCTGCCGGACACCAACATCAGCATCCACGTGCCCGAGGGCCACGTGGCTCCCGGGGAGACGCAGCAGATCTCCATGAAGGCTCTGCTGGATCCCCCGCTGGAGCTCAACAGCGACCGCTGCAGCTCCATCAGCCCGGTGCTGGAGGTGAAGCTGAGCACGCTGGAGGTGAAGACCCACCTTATCCTGGAGATGAAGGTGTCAGCTGAGGTGAAGAGTGACATTTTCAGCAAGAGCACGGTGGGCCTCCAGTGCCTGAGGAGCGACTCCAAGGAGGGGCCCTACATCCCCATGCCTCTCGCCTACAGCTACGGGGACACAGTCCAGGTCCAGCTGGACAACCTGGAGCCCTGTATGTACCTGGCCATCGTTGCCCATGGCCCGAACATCCTCTATCCTTCCACGGTCTGGGACTTCATCAATAAAAAAGTCACCGTGGGTCTCTATGGCCCCAAACACATCCACCCGTCCTTCAAGACAGTGGTGACCATTTTCGGGCATGACTGCGCCCCAAAGACCCTCCTGGTCAGCGAGGTCACCCGCCAGGCCCCTAGCCCGGCCCCAGTGGCCCTTCAGCTCTGGGGCAAGCACCAGTTCATCCTGTCCAGGCCCCAGGATCTCCAAGTCTGTGTGTTTTCCAACATGACCAACTACGAGGTCAAAGCCAGTGAGCAGGCCAAGTCAGTGAGAGGGTTCCAGGTGAAGCTGGGCAAGGTCAGCCGCCTCATCTTCCCCATCACATGCCAGAACCCCAGCGAGCTCTCTGACTTCACCCTGCGGGTTCAGGTAAAAGACGACCAGGAGGCAATCCTCACCCAGTTTTGCGTGCAGACCCCCCAGCCGCCCCCCAAAAGCGCCATCAAGCCGTCTGGGCAGAGACGATTCCTCAAGAAGAACGAGGTGGGGAAGATCATCCTGTCCCCGCTGGCCGCCACCACCAAGTACCCGACGTTTCAGGACCGCCCCGTGTCCAGCCTCAAGTTCGGCAAGTTACTCAAGACGGTGGTGCGGCAGAGCAAGAACCACTACCTGCTGGAGTACAAGAAGGGCGACGCCATCGCGCTGCTCAGCGAGGAGAAGATCCGGCTCAAGGGGCAGCTGTGGACCAAGGAGTGGTACATCGGCTACCACCAGGGCAGGGTGGGCCTGGTGCACGCCAAGAACGTGCTGGTAGTGGGCAAGGCGCGGCCCAGCCTGCTCGCGGGGCCCGAGCTGAGCACGTCGGTGCTGCTCGAGCAGATCCTGCGGCCCTGCAAGTTCCTCACCTACATCTACGCCTCGGTCCGCACGCTGCTCATGGAGAATGTCAGCAGCTGGCGCTCCTTCGCCGACGCCCTGGGCTACGGGGACCTGCCGCTCACCTTCTTCTGCCGGGCCGAGCTGGACAGTGAGCCCGAGCGGGTGGCGTCCGTCCTGGAGAAGCTGAAGGAAGACTGCAACAACACGGACAACAAAGACCGGAAGTCCTTCCAGAAGGAGCTCATGATGGTGAGTGGCCGGCGGGGCTCGGCTTCACGGAGGCTGGGGGCCCAGTCTGGCCTTAGAGCCCTGGCAAGCGCGGGCACGGGCGTGGTTTCCTCAGTTGGTGGGCCCAGGGTCTGGGGCCCCCTCTCTGCTCCCGGACACTCACGTGCACCTGGGGACAGGCATTTACGTGGTCTCGGAGAGGGGAGCCCCAAACAGCTCAGCGCCACCAGGGCGCAAGGGTCATTCAGGTCTTCTCCCGTTGATTTTGTGAGCTCCTCGGAGGTCCAGAATGCATCTCCCCCTGCCGGTTGAGGGGGTCAGGGTACAGGGGGCCTGTACCTTGCTCCTGTTTAGACCTCCTGGGAGGAGATCCACCCTTTCGCCGGATCTCCAGCGGGACCTGTGTCATGAAAGTTTGATGAACCACTGCCCCAAAGTCTGACTATATCAACGATGTGACTTTTTCTCTCCAGGCCTTACTTGAAGGCTCCGCCCTCCTCGGTATCATTTCCTCCTCCTCCTTTTTGCTTCTGTTTGATTTGGGGTGACTTGTTGTTGCTCAGCTGCTCAGTCGCGTCCAACTCTCTGCCAGCCCCGTGGACTGCAGCACGCCAGGCTTCCTCATCCTTCACTATCTCCCAGAGCTTGCTCAAACTCATGTCCGTCGAGTCGGTGGTGCCATCCCACCATCTCATCCTCTGTCGTCCCCTTCTCCTGCCTTCAGTCTTTCCCAGCATCAGGGCCTTTTCCAGTGAGTAGGCTTTGCATGTCAGGAGGCCAAGGTATTATTAGGGCTTCAGCATCAGTTCTTCCAATGACTATTCAGGGTTGATTTCCTTTAGGAAACAAGTGAGGACAGCTTGTTTTGCCAGCACAACCTGGACACTGGAATCCTAAGTAAAGAGGGGGCGGTTAGAGCCCCCCCTGCTGGTTAGAGCTCTTAAACCTACCGGAAAGCACCTTCCGGACCCATTCACAGCTTCCAACAGTCCTGGGCTCTGGGCTGGTCACTCTAACTGCCGCTGCAGTTACAGTTACCTGGGAGAAGCTTAATGTCTTCTGGGCGTCCCTGGTTGAATTCATGCCAGCAGACATTCTGTTGATTCTTTCTGTAACAGAAGCCAACTCAGTTCCCTTCCCCGTCCCCCGATACGAACACGTCACTAGTTTTTGTTCCCGTGGGAAACCCGTGGCTTGGTCATAGCCTTCTTTTTTCTTTTTCCACCCTTTCCACACAGCCCTTTTCACCTCCTAAGCCCTGTAAGGTATGACTCCCAGCGCCCCTGCATTTCTGCCAGCTCAACTCCCCTCCTTCCCCCAGCACCTGCCATTCTGAGTGAGTGCCTATTGCAATGGATGGGTCCGGTGTATCTGTGGGTGTGAGGGTGTGTGATTGGATGGAGGTGTTGCATTCACATCCTGTGCTGCCCCCTGGGGCTGGGGGGCACAGAAGGGATACGGTCCACGGGGGCATGGCCCCTGCTGCAGGGAGCATGAATGGCAGCCTAACAGGAAGAAAGACATCGAGAAAGACCCCTTGACGGTGGCCCCACAATAATACAAAGTGCCAGACACACGGAGCAGAATAAAAGCCTGACTTTGCCCACAGGAGGGAGGCCGGACCTGGAGGTGGCAACCAGGAGGTCACTGAGGGCATCCATCACTGAAGGCAGCTTCAGTGGGGAGGAAGCCCGTTGTCACGGCAACAGCGGTGGGGACGAGCTTGGGGTGGGTGGGCAACAGAGGAACCTGCCCAGGCACTGGGTGGGGCTCCCGCACATCGAAGAGCCAGGGCCCCCACTTGGGGGGTGTCCCGCCAGCCCACCCGCGAGATCAATTCTCACAGTTTGCGTCCAGCCTGAGTTGCATGGTGCTCTCGTGGATGGACCTCGTGCAGGGGGGCAGGAGGGAGCCTCCAGCAGGGATTCTCTGTGATGGTGGAATGATGTGCATTCATGAACCATGAAGGGTATTTAATCGTTCCTTCATCACAGCTGGAAATCGCTCACCTTGAATGGGGCAAGATGAATGGACCTGGGCGGACCGAGGAGGTGGCACTCAACTTCAACTTCCATTTCCAACTCATTTCTTTTCATCTTTTTGTTCAACTTGGGGAACTTTCTCTGACAGCAGGTCTTTCAGGAAACTTCTTGGGTTAGTGTGTGTTGGGGCAGGGGTGGACCGTGTGCAACTCAGACCTCCCCCGTCCCCTACCAGCCCCACACCCACCAGGACTCCCAAGAAAGGAGGAAATGAAACCTGACCTTGGCAGGAACGTGGCCCCGGGACAAGGTTAGATTTGTGGTGCAACAGTGAAACCAGTTTTGCAGTGTTTCCCCTCTCCCGCCCCTCCCCGGCTCCTCTCCTATCTCCTCATCTTGTGGGCTGGCAGGTTTGAATGATTGGCCAAACTTCTAGAAACCACAGGCTGATTTATCCCAGCGTGTCTGGGGAGTCACTGGAAACCAGGTGTTTTATTTCCAGGGACTTAACAAATCAGTAAGGAGTCAGGCTTCCTGCGGCCTCAGTGGCTGATTTAACCCGCTCCCCGCTCTTTAGCCCCATCACAGGCAGACCACCTCCTTCCCACCCCTCTCGTTTGGAAGGTCGTTTTCTGTTCAGGTATGACTCCTTGGTTTGGAAGCAGTGATTGAATGAATTAAAAGTGGTGAAGGTTTTCGGACAGTAAATTTGCAGGCAGATGAGAAGGAAAAAGGAACCAAGGACTGAGTTGTCCAGCCTTCCGCTGCCCTTAGAACAAGGTCCAGCCCCTTCCTCTGGCCCACGGGCCCTGTAAGACCCGGCTGGGGCCATACCTGCCCCCGCACACCGGCTGCACCGGCAGCCGTTTCTGTGTGCCTTGGACACACCTGGCCGCCCCTGCCCCGGCCTCTGCACCTGCCGTTCCCTCTGCCTGGAATTCTCTCCGCTCCCGTTTCACGTGGTTGCGTTTTCTGTCCTTCAGATCCCGGCTAGGATGCCCTTGTCAGACCTTTCCTGCCGCCCTCGATGAAGCCTCTGGGTCACTGCACCAGACTCACTGTGTTATTGTAGCCTTGTCTTCATGGCGCTTTCTCAAATCCGAAATGCTCTTGTTTGCTCGTATTCATGGTCTTTAGCATTAGACTAATTGGATATGAACTCCACCAGGGAGAGGATGCTGGCACACAGGAAGCACTCACATATTTGATGAATGACTGAATATGTGATTGAATGAATGAGTGGTGCAGGCTGAGAACCTGACCTGGACGCAGTCTCCTGAAGTCAGGTGTGTTTCTGTTCTCTGGCTCCATTCCTTCTTTCACTGTTTTAGTACATCTGTTCAATATCAGAGCTGGTCCGGCAGCATCTTATGTAACTGTGACCTCCAGCTGTTTCTCTGTGGCCCTGTCCCACCCGCATGTGTGACCACCATGGAAAGCACCCCTCTGTCCCCGGTCTGCCCAGCTCTCCAGGACAGGCCCTGCTGTCTGTGACAAAAGATGGCTGTCCAACACGGGTGACGCTACCGCCACCCCAACTATCATGAAAGTGGGGGGAGGCGAGACGCTGACCCCCAAGGAGAGTAGCCAGGATGGACGGAGCTCGCAGAGCACCCCCAGGCACGAGAGAGCATTGAATGAACCCCCATAGGATCACTTGGCTGGCGGGACTTGTGGGTTGGGAAGATGTTGGAATTGGCACCGCATATTTGAAGAGCTTCTGAAGTCCAGTTCTGTTGTCGGAAACAGGCCCGGGGAATGGGTGGTGGGTACACGGCTGCGGCTTCTAACAGAGCTCAGAAGAGCCAGCCCGTCCGGCCAGGACGGGTGTTTTTACTCCATGTTCATGAAACATGTCTCGGGTGTCTGTCTGCTGTGCCCTTATTTGGGGGGTAGGGTATTTCGTCTTTCCTTGAGGGAGACACAGAGTGAACACCCACAGGAGTGCAGGACAGACCAGCGATGGGTCCCAAAGAAAAGATCTCCTTGACGTGAGTGGACTAGGGAAAGGCAGTGTCAGAGAGGGGCTGACACGAGGGGATAGGCCGTGACCCCCCCCAGCAGAGAGGGACCGTTGAGTTGAAGGCACAAGATGGGCAAGAGCCAAGGGTGCAGGGGAGCAGGGCATGGGGAAGAACCAGAGGCCGGGGAGGCCAGAGGCTGGGCTGAATCGAGATGACTGCGTACTGACGGCGGGGTAACAGCTGGATACCAGCTGGGGGTAACCCAGGCTGGATGATGCCCATGCTTTATTCCTTGGGGTGGGCCAGGGGATGGCATAAGTGTTTTAGGGGTCGGGAAGGGGACCCAGGTGTGTCCTCATCCTTGGGGACCCACCCAGGTGTGTTGATGCACCTTGTCACCTCCCAGCCTCCAAGCCACACAGCCGACAGTCAGTGCCCACCCCGCCACCCACCGCCCCACCCTTAGCCTTAGCAAGAGGGTAGGCGGCCTGTGAGGCAGCCCTGGGCTTTCTCTTCTGTCCTACCATGCTGGGTGGAGGTCAGATGGCCCCAGGTCTGTGCTGTGGCCCAGAGGGGTGGTTCCCAGGCCACGTGCACATCCACGCTGATCTTCAGAGCCCCCCGGGGTCCTGGGTTTGGCCCACTGCTGTGGCTCATCCCAGGTTTTGTTTTTTTCCAAAATGAAGATAGTCCTCATTGGCTTTTCTGTTTGTGAAGACGGCAGATGCTCTTTTTGCATTGCTATTTGCCAGTCCTGAGAAACAGCAGCAGAAACCCCCACCCCCACTCCGGGCCCGTCTTCCAAAGCAGCCTGTGTTAGCGATCTGCAGTGTAGACAGCGCGGGTCTTCCTCTGTTCCCTGGGTTTGCCCTGCACTGTCTGGGCAGTGAGCATGTGAGCAGGCGGCTCTGGGTCTGTGCGGAGCTGCGGTCCCCAGCGGGGTGGGTGCTCTGGTCCTCCGTCTCCAGGACGGTGGTGGCGCCTGGTCTCGCCATTACCAACACTGCTCCGAGGCAGGTCCCAGCCCCGTGACTCTGCAGGCTTGTCCCCTCCATTTCATGACAACATTCTGCCA